CACCTCTTCAACTCTTGAACTTGAAGATTTGGCTGTTGGTGATGATTGCCAACCCCTGCCCACCTTTTTTCTTTGAAACATATTGTCATCTTTATCTAGTGCTGCTAACAGAAATGCCTTTAACAACCAGAATTTCATTCTCTCATGGTTTAAGAAGCTAAAAGTCAGAATACAGAGCACTAGCTCTGGAGAAAGGGCCTTGTTTGCTTTCAGCAGTCCTTAGAGATAGCCGTGTGTCTCAGCATCGATTTTCCTCTGGATCTAAGAGCAGGGACCCCAGGTCCAAAGGATGTACTCCACTTCCAACTCTTCCCTCTTGATGGTAGTAGCTTCTCAGCTCTGCTTGCCTGCTGAATCTCTTTTATATTTCAAAAGAGATTGACTCAAGGTGAAACATAGCCTTGTAGATTGCGTCTGACCTCTGTAGCATCAGGGAAATCAGGATTTACAACACAGGATAATTGTATCAGATCATAGCTGCTTAGAAACATGGGGAGTGCTACATCTTATTAGCGCTCATCATGGGGAATTATTGTTGTTAAGTGCCAAGTCGGTTCTGACTCATAACCTGTGTAGGGTTTCTGAGGAGCAGCTGGTGGGTTTAGCCACCAACTTCATGGTCAGCCATCCAGTGCTTATTTGTAGGACCACACCAGGACTCTCCATGGGCTGGCCCAATCAAGTGGACACAAAATCTTAACTACCACACACATATATAATGTAAAGTTTGTCATTTCAACTGTTTTTAAGTGCACAATACAATTCAGTGGCATTAATTACATTCACCATCATCACTGTTTTGTTTCCAAACTTTTCATCACCCCCAAACAGAAACACTCTCAGAACCACCATGCCCATTAAACACTGCCTTTCACCGTCCCTTCTGTCTAGCCCCTGAATGCATTTGCTTCTTCTATATATTCCTCTTTATATCCTATATAGAGTCCTGGTATGGCACTGTGGGTTAATGCACTGGACTGCAAAGTCAGTTTGAATCTCAAGGTTGGTGGTTCAAGCTCACCAGCCGCTCCTTGAAAACCGTATACAGGGTTGCTATGGGTTGGAATTGACTCAACGGTGCTTAACAACAACATATATTCAATATAAGTTTAATCAGATACTGTCTGTCACAGACAATGTTGTACTTCAAGATAAATTTTGAAATGTTCTTTTTGATGATGAATGCGACATCATTCCTCTTCAATCTGTCATTTCTGGCACAGTAGACCATGTGATTGACAGATTCAAAATGGTCAAGACCAGTCCATTTCAGCTCATTAATTCTTATGAGAGATCCATCTTTATGTGTTTCGGTTCATTTGTGACAGCTTCCAATTTTCCTAGATTTATACTTTGTACATTCCATATTCTGATTATTAGTGATGTGTACAGCTGTTTCTCTTCATTTTGAGTTGTGTGTCATCAAATGAAGGTCCCATGGGCTTTACTCCATTCACATCATCAGGGTCAACTCTACTTTAAGGGGGCAGCTCTTCCCCAGTCTTATTTTGAGTACCTTCCAACCTGAGGTGCTCATCTTCTGGCATGATATCCATATATTCTGGTGTTTTTCATCATGTTTCAGTATTCTGGTGCTATCCGACAGTGTTAACTGTTATTCATAACGTTTTCAATGGCTAAACATTAAGAATTAGTCCATCACTCCTCCTTCCTAGTCTGTCTTAGTCTGGTAGCTCATCTGAAACCTGGCCACCATGGGTGACCTTACTAGTATTTTAAATACCAGTGGCATAGCTTCTAGAACCACAGCAGCATGCAAGCCACCACAGTACAACACACTGATGGACGCGTGGTGACCTGAAGAAGATACTTCCTGGTCACTTACATTTTTTATCTCTAATTTTTTTTTTTAATGTGTTGGTGACTTCACCATGCTCCTTAAGGTAACTGGTTGCTAAGCCTTAGATCTATCATAGAGCTCTAGAACTGGTTCTCAGAGCCACAGGTGGGGCTCTAAAATGGAACCTGAATCTCTGCCTATTTCCCTGTAAACAGCATCAGCATCTCCCCTGGTGCCGACAGAGGGCGCCTTGTAGCAGGAATCACATCCTTTTGGTTCCTTCTTCAGCTGATGTAGACTGGCTTTAAAGATACCTATCCATGAATTCCTGCTAGGCTGGTTCTGCCGTCTGTGCGCTACGCCAAGAGACTGACTTTGGTTCAGGCAGCCTTTCCCCGTCTGGGAGAAGCTGCTATTTCATCTTGTTTGAATGTCTCGAATAAATACTTGATAAGGAATTCTATAATCTGTTGTATGTCAAGTGGTTTGACACATTACTTTGTCTGAGTGAAAAAAGAACAATGGAAAGACTATTCAGATATTAATAGAACATGACAATGCAGTGCCTGGTCATATTAATGATGCTGTTACACTGAGAAGATGTGATAGTTAGTCATGTGATCACACGAGTTCACCCCAGGGATGCCAGAAATGATGCTGATATAGGTGTTTGGATTCTCAGCTTTCCAAAGGCAGGACCAGACCCAAATAGGAGATTTGGGATGCATGCCAAGGCCAAAGCCAACTGCTTTACATCTGTAGAGAGGTCCTGAGTAGTCAGCTGAGAAAGATCAGCCGTGAGTGGGGAGGAACCGGGACAGGATGGGGGCGAAGGTGTTTCATGGATGTGGGAGGGAGAAAGATGTAAACAGTGAGAATACACTTCAGACTCAGCCACGTGGACGCCCACTGGATGCACAATGGACTCCTCTTCTTGAGAAGAGATTCGGGAAGCAGCTGCCTCACCCTTGGAAACCTTACAAGACTTTAGTGGGTGTGGCTTTCCTGTGCTTAGGAGGTGCCCTCAAGGTAGCCCGTACAAGGACAGTAAGAGTGGGCAGCCTTACTTCCAGGTCAGCTGTGGTCCTGTTTGAACTCAAGGACAACCCTCTCCATGCAAAACTCGGGCTCTCCTCATGTGTTAACAACCTCACCTCTGCGGCTGTCAGCCCCATTTGCTTGCTGCTCTAACCTGCTGCTAGGAATTGGCCCCCACCCATCCTCTGCTTCCTTTCACATTAGGAAGACAGGGATTCTGGTTGCGGGAAATGTGGAGCTGATCTGCAGAGCCTCCTGTTGGCAGGCAAAGTCATTGTTGTTATTAAGTGCCCTCGAATTAATTCTGAATCACAGTGACCCTATAGAGGGTTTCTGAGGAGTGGCTGGTGAGCTTGAGGTTCAAACCGACCTTATAGTCCAGCACATTAACCCACAGCGCTACACCCTGCCAGTACCCAATTCTCCCTGATGTGAGGCATCCCCGACACCCTGTCTGATAAAAAATGTCCACAGCCACCCCGCAGAGTAGATAGGCAGTGAGTTTAAGATGGGAAGTGAGTGTAAATCAAGAGTAGTGACGCAGCGTGGTAGAGAAAGCGTGCTGTTGGTGTTAGTGCTGTTGGTCGATTCGAACTCGTGGCGACCCTGTATAGGGTTTCCAAGCAGTGGCTGGGGAGTTTGAACCACTGACTTTGTGGTCCAGGGCATTATCCCGCAGTGCCACACCAGGACTCCAGAAAAAGGCTTTTGTTGTTGTTGTGAAGTGCCATTGAGTCGGTTCCGACCCATAGTGACCCAGTATAGGGTTTCCAAGGAGCAGCTGGTGAGCTTGAACCACCGACCTTGCTGTTCAAATGACTTTGTAGTTTGATGTATTAGCCCACAGCGCCACACCGGGACTCCTAGAGACAGGTTAGTAATTGCTTATTAACTATCTTGTAAGGAAATGAATGAATGAATGTCTACCTCGAACCCAGCCAGCACTGTGGGATAATTCTGTTGTCCTGAAAAGATTATCAAGAAACCTGGTGGTACGGTGGGTGAAGCGATGGTGTGCTAGCCACAGGTCTGAGGTTCAAGCCCACCAGCTGCTCTGTGCGAGAACAATGAAACATTCTGCTCGTATAAAGTGTTAGAGCCTCAGAAACCCTGGAGAAGATTTCTCCTCTGTCCTATGGGGTTACTGTCAGTCAGAGCTCACTGACTGTGGGTGAGGAGAGAGGATATCAAAACCCTTGTCTTTGTTCTCACTGAGGGATGGGAATGGTGTTTGCAGGAGTCTCCAATAAAATGCTCTGCACAGAACGTGGCTGGGCATCACTTCAGAAATGGAAGCCCTGTTTGCCATCAGGCACCCATCCGGTCCGCAGGTACTGACTGCACCTTCACCATATTTATGTTGGGCTTGGTCATCATCGATTTGACTGTTTTCCAGAAGGGTGAGATCCGCAAACACCCAGCTCTGAGGGTGACTGAAGAGGATGGGCACCTGGGGTCTGCAACCCTGCTGCCCTTTAGATGTCGTGGGGTCAATGCCGGGGCGGCTGGAATCTCCCGTCACCTGCTCCATTCTGCCCCAGAGATTGCAGCGCTTGCTACTGGGCGAGAGTTTTCATAATTGAATCTCAAGTGGATGTGACAATCTCTCCTGGGTCTTTCTAGATTGCTTCCTGCTCTCATTCCTGGTAATAAGATTGTTGCCGAGTATCTGGGAATATCTAATCATCCTTCTTATTGCCATGTCAAAGTGTTAGAGAAACAAAAATAGAGGCATCTGTGCAAGAAACAACCAGCTACCTGTAGGGCCTTGTTATTTATCAAAGGCTTCTGGGAAGCCATGAACACAGCTTCTGCTACCTCCCCAAGGCCCAGCCCCGTCCCCACTAAGGTGCCCTCCATGCCACCCAAAGGGACCTAGAATTGTGTTTTCCATTTTATGCATAGAACGTTCATGTTTTATCCTTAAACACCCCCCCTCCCCCCTGTATTTACCCTGGAGTCATATTCTAAGGAAGACAAAAGACCTGAAAGCTCAGAGCTGCTTGACCCAACATCTTGGAACCCCACTTCTGTGCATTGTAACTTTCTCTATGTTGGGGGCCCAGGTGTCAGAGTAGAGAGCACATCACAACCAGCATGCATCTCAGCCCTGAGTCCCCCCAGCTTTCTTTCACACCCTGACTGCTTTTGTCATTTGCAGAGAAACTGGCGGACTGCAAGTTGAATGTGGCCGAGGTGACCCAATCAGAAATTGGGCAGAAACAGAAGTTACACACAGTTCTGGAGACCGTGCACGACCTGCTACGGCCCCACGGATGGCCACTCCGATGGAACGTGGACTGTGAGTAGCCGTCTTGTTAATGTTTGGCGCTGCCATTTGTCATTCCATTTTAAATTTCGTTTGGCCACCTTGCGATGTGGAAGACAGCGTCGAAGATGCAAGGCCAAGGGCACCATTGTAGGGCTCGTGAATGAGGGATGCTCTGCTTTTCCTCGGCTTCAGATGAGAGAAGACTGGTTAGTTGTGTGGCTGAAGAGCAATGTGGCCAACTCACCACAAGGTCAGTGGTTGAAACCCATCAGCTGCTCCTCAGAAATCGTATACGTGTTGCTATGTGTCGGAACCAACGCAATGGCACTTACCAACAACATGAGCATTCTAGGGTTAATAGGGAAAACTCTACAGACTGAGCACCTAGAAGAACAGAAAGGCATTGTCTCACAGCTCTGGAGGCGGGAGGTCCAGGCTCAGGCTGTGGGCAGGGCTGTCCTGTCTCTAAAAGTCGTAGGGAAAGGTTCCCCTCTTTCTCTTCCGCCTTCTCGTGTCCCCAGCTGTTCGTGGCTTGTGGCTGTGACATCCCACCACCATCAGCTGACTGTCTTCCCTCTGTGTGTCTCTCGTCTTTTTTAAGAACACCACTCAGACTGGATTAGAACCAGTAGTGTAGTGGTTACGAGTCGGGCTGCCAATCTCAATGTCAGCAGTTCAAAACTGCCAGTGATTCCGCAGGAGAAAGATGAGGCATTCTGCTCCTGTAAAGATTTACAGCCTCAGAGACCCTGTGCAGGGTCACTATGAGTCAGAACTGATGTCACGGTACTTAACAACAACAACAACAACATATCCAGTATGACCTCATGCTGACCCATATGGGATAATGCATTGGAATGCAAGGTTGGTGGTTCAAACCCACTAGCCACTCCTCGGAAACCCTAAACAGGGTCGCTATGAATCCGAGCTGACTCAGAGGCTCTTAACAACACCAGCAGCTTTGAAGACTTTCTTTCCAAACAAGGCCATGTTCACAGACTTCAGCTTATCTTTTCAGAGGGCACACTCAATCCACAACAGGTTTTATGGCAGAGAAAGCTCTACGGGTTGTTGGAATTGGCTCAACCCCAAATGCCAAGGGCCCCAAGACCTAATGAGCTAATTTACATCATACCCCACTAAAGCAGGATCTGGGATTAATTCATGCTGTCTGCTGGCTGGATGGTGTATCAGCATGAAGAGAAGACAATATCATGGAATTTCCAGCCAAGGAGGGAACCTGAAAGGGGCACACACAAATGAAGAGAAGCTGGAACATTCTCTGTCCTGTCTGCCCTTCTCCCCATAAAGGATGCCACCCCACTGCCCCATCCTTCTTGCTGGACAGTTGTTATTGTTTTTATGTGCCATCAAGTCAGTTCCGGCTCACAGTGACCCTGTATAGGGTTCCTGAGGAACCTTTGTTTTCTGTCTGGAAGCTTCTGTGGTTTGACGAAATGAACCCCAAATTGTAGGACCCTGGTGGTACCTCAATCCTTAGCCCCCAGTTTCTTGGCACCGTGACCTTGTATAGCCCCAAACCCACCTCGTGGTTGTCCGGGCAATGGAGGGCTTTGTCAACCAGAACCAAGTTCTGAGCGCAAGGACCACACCTTGGTCCAAGTGCTGAGGGGTGGTGTGGGGGGGAGGTGGGTGATGGCAATCAATGAGTGAGCTAAGCAGGAGTCAACTCCTGGTCATCACTTCCCCATGAGAGCCGCGGCTGATTGCAGGGCAGGGAGAGCATCTTACTTGCTGAGGATAATGATGGAACATTACTCTGACGGCTAAGTGGCCCTGGTGACCCATTTTCAAGGTCTTTTCCCATCTCTTGCGCTCGTTTCCCTGCTCACTCCTCTTCCTTTTAAAAGTTGGGGATGTCTTGGTTTAGGGAGCAGTGAGCTTCTATCAAGGAGGAAGGAAAGAAACGGGGGTGATGTTTGCACCGTATGAACGTGATCAATGTGACTGAGTGGTCCGCGTAAAAGTGACTGAGTTTGGTTGATAAATATATCATATATTGAATCCTGGTGTGGCATTGGTGGATAAACACTGGACTGTTAACCGCAAGGTCAGCGGTTCAAATCCACCAGCACTCCTTGGAAACCTTCTACAGGTCGCTATGAGTCAGAACCAACT